GTTTGGCTACATCTTGAATGCTACAGCTTTTAGCAAGTCACAGCAACAGAAGAGTGCCAAAGGAGCCAGACTCCAAAAGGCCTGTCAAGCATGCTCCCAGGAGCTAGAGGCAGGAAGATGGCAGGCACAAAGACACAAAAAACCTGTATGTAAAACAAACATGCAAGCCACGGTCCAAATGACAAGACAGGCCTGCTGAGAAAAGAATGTTTGCAGCCACGAAACATTGCGTTAAGAAGTTTGTTGTAAAGGCAACTCTTAAAGGGGCTTTGATTTGGCTAGACAAATGGACAAGGAACCCAGATGACTCACAAAGAAAGAGATAGAAATGCAATGTGACAAACAAACTTGGAGAGATGTCTGACTGTGCCAAAAGTCAGACATCTCTCAGGCTAGCAACTGTTTGTCAGGGTAACAGCTGATCCTGGCAAGGTTAGACTGAAAGTTGTCCTCAGGACAGTCAAATCTCAGATGCCAAATGCCTCTATGTTTTCATCAAGTATTCATATCTAAGACTATGGAGGACCAGTCTCCCATCCAAGTACTAACCAGGCCCAACCCTGCTTAGCTTCTGAGATCAGGTGTGTTCAGGGTGCTATGGCCACAGACAACAGTTCTCATTTAAACTACAACACTTATGCTAAATTCCAGAGTTCCCTAACCCCCAAACCTCACTTCTGCACATGCCAAGTCTGTTATATCTATCCTCCATCTCTCCACCAGGAAGATTTTTTTTTTTGGTTTTTCGAGACAGGGTTTCTCTGTGGCTTTGGAGGCTGTCCTAGAACTAGCTCTTGTAGACCAGGCTGGCCTCGAACTCACAGAGATCCACCTGCCTCTGCCTCCCAAGTGCTGGGATTAAAGGTGTGCGCCACCAACGCCCGGCGGGAAGATTTTTTTTATGATACATCACTTTTTTATTTAAATTAGAAATAAGCTTGCTTCACATGTCAATCTCAGCTCCTTCTCCTTCCCCCGCCCCCCTTCAACCTCGCCCAACCCCCCACCCAATCCCCACTCCACTCCACCAGGAAGATCTTAACTCATTAATTTTTCCCCTTTGAGACGGGGTCTCATGTATCCCAGGTTGGTCTCAGACTCTTTAGGTGGCTGAGGATGACCTTGAACTTCCGATCTTCCTACTTCCTATCCTGTATGCTGGAATGGTCTTTGTGTACCTCCATGCCTGATTATGTGATGCTGGAGAGGGATTCTAAGGTTTTGTGCATGCTAGACAAGGGCTTTGCTATCTGAACTCTACCTCCACAGTTTAACACTTTTCAAAGATAAACCCAAACTTCTCTTCTAGAAGGACTCCTCCAGTAATGATCTCCAAACAGACAGTGTCCATTCTTTCCTTTTGATTCTCAAAAGGCACCATGTTTGCTCTCCAGGGTCTAGTCTGCTAAATGAATGGAAGTAGAAAAGATCATGTTGAGGGAGGTAACCCAGACCCAGACAGACAAACACTGCATGTTCTCAGAGACTCCTAACTCCAAATCTTCAGATGTGAGTACATAGCCTGGAGTAACCTCAGAAACAGGAAAGTAAAAAGAGATCATTGCCAGGGTGGCTGCGGGGGACAGAAAAGGGAGTAATGGGGTTCAAGCAATACAACTGGAAAGATGGGAAAATGGGGCTTTATAGGGAGGAGAGAAAGATAAACACAGAAGAAGGACAAGATAAAACAATGTCTGAAAAAGTTATAAGTAATCATATCATTAACTAATTATTTAGAAAACTGTAATACACACAATTCTGTGTATAAATATACATATACACAGTTTAAATGAAATTTTCTCCATCTGAACTGACAATGCTTCCTCCAAGATCAAAACCCCAACACCAGGCATGAGAAGCCCTCTTTTGAGTTGTTGGTCAATGTTGTCCAAGAGACCCCCAAACACACAGCTTACTGCTATTGTCCTTGGTGGAGGGTAAGTCTCTATTGCCACAGACACCGTGTACTTCAGACACAGGACCCCGAAGCCCCTTGCTGGAACTGACCTGAATGTTTCTTCTCTGAGGACTAGCTTTCACGGTACCAGAAAGAATCATGCAAGCAGAGCAACCAACAGTCCTACCCAACTATGATGCCTATGAACCCACAAACATCACGGCACAACAACCCTGTGAGGGTTCGGTAGTGGCACGCATACCTTACCAGTAACCAATAGCTCTTTAATTGGATTTAAGGACCTCTCAACAAGAGGGAAACCCATGCCTGGTACTAAACTACCAACTACCTAGGGGTAGTGAGGTCACTGATCTTAGGGGAGAATCCACAACTAACACTGTACTAGGCCAGCACAATCCCTAACTACATTCTGAATATTTGTCCTTATATCCACAGATGAGTGTAGTTCGTCAGGGAAACTTCTCTTTGCAACAGAGACCATTACAGAAAACCACAACCCTTCAAACTGCAGAGTTGTGGAGCCCAGGCCTAGTAGACACATCTGTAAAACAGCTCTGAACCCCGGACTCAGAAAGCATACACAAGAGGGGGCTGGAAGATTGTAGGAGCCAGAGGATCAGGGACTCGGTTGTGAGACTGTGTCTCCTAGTAATGTCAGAAGTTATATCCATAAAATCCCACTAACATGGTGCTGAACAAGGACAACAATAGACACGCTGAAGTGGAGGGGATGTATATGAGGCCTCTACTCCAGACAAATAACTACGGCTGAGGAATAAGTAGGAGAAATAGTCTTCTCTGGGGAAGGGAAGAATGATATAATTATAGTATAATCTCAAAAATAAAAGGAAAATGGGGGGTGGGGCAGTATTCATGACATTTGTCATTGATCTTGCCATGTTGTTTTGAGATGTGTTTTCACTATATCATCTCAGAGACCAGGAGTCCCTTGGAAGGCCTGGTGTCCTGTTTATCTTTGCAAATTCCAGGCTGAATGCAGGTCAGGAGGCCCTGAACACTATTGCGTGGAGGAAAAGTGTGAGGTGGAGATCACATGTGTTCCAGAGAAGGAGGCCTTTCCCTCCTCCACGAAAATGTGAGACAGTGTGAACAGAGTGTAGGAGATCCAAGTTGGACAACGTGGGAATGGATTCAAGGCCAGAGATGACTGACAGAAGACAGCAGCGAATCCAAGGACAGAAGGAACTTCAGCCACTCAAGGGTTTTCTGAGAAGCTCAGCTCCAAGATTGGACCAACCTGCTGCACCCTTGGCCTTTAGTGATGTGTTGTTGATTGTAGCCCAGAACTACTACAGGACTGAGGTGTGCAGTCTTCCAGCTGTAGGGAATGTGGGCACCCATGGCTGTCACTGAGGTATTTCCCTCTGCTCAAGGAAGCCACCTTCTCTAAGTTCGCATCTCTTCCCAAGAACAATCCCTGTCTAGTGATTTGCCAGTGAGGGGAAAATAAGTCTGGACCCATTGTCTCTAGGTTGGACAACTGATGTCCTATCCAACCATTAGAACACTGCATAGCTCACTGGGCCCTCTTCTTCCCTTCCCTTCCCTCTTCTTCCCTTCCCTTCCCTTCCCTTCCCTTCCCTTCTCTCATCCCCCCTCCCTCCCTCCCCTCCCCTCCCCTCCCCTCTCCTCTCCTCTCCTCTCCTCTCCTCTCCTCTCCTCTCCTCTCCTCTCCTCTCCTCTCCTCTCCTCTCCTCTCCTCTTTTTCTCTATCTGCAATAAAGTTTAGACTTGCCCCAGCTCCTCTCTCAAGCAGGTGTGAGTTCCTACTTCAATCTCTCGGCAGTTCCCAGCAGGCAAATCTCTATCCTAGAGTCTGTTTCCAGACAGATTGAGTCAAGATGAGTGATGTTTCATCTGTTTTATGTTTCTGACCTAATGTTTTTTTTTCTAAACAGGAAAATACTTCTTACACACATCCACCACAATGAACTCCACAGTCATTCTGAACTTTTGTCGGTGCCATCAAAGTCACTCACCAATGGCCTTCTGTTCTTCATTTATGACTTGAGTCATGTTTTGGGAGGTGATAGCAATTTCTAAGGTGCTATTTAATATATGAATGTCACATTATTTAATGCTTTCAAAAACATATCCTGCTGTGAACTGGGAGTTGAAAGAAAACCCACATGCTATTAGCTGACATTTCAAAACACACGTTTTTGACACAGTATTATTATACAGACCAGGCAGTCCTTTCTAAGAAGTATTATTATGATGTGGGGGACAGGCATGCAGGGGTGCATATGTGTAGATCAGATGCAACTTTGTGGTCTCGGTTCTGTCCTTTCATCTTTATGTAAGTTCCACGAATCAAACTCGGGTTGCCAGGTCTCTTACCCTGAGCCATCTTGCCAGCCCTTAGCTGACTTAAAAGAACATTTAAAAGCCAGTAAGGTGTCTCAGCATGTATAAACACTTGCCCTCAGGTGGAGGTACCTGGGTCCTATCTCTCGACCCTAGACTGGAAGGAAAGAATCAATGCCCAAAGTGGTCCCCTGACTCCATGCATGTGCCATGGTACATGCTTGCCTGTCCTCATACCTTCACCTCCAACACACATACAGTCACTTTAAACATGTAATTTAAAAAGAACAGTCAAACTCCCAGATCTTCTGTGATGATGCACATGTATAACTCCAGCACTCAGCAGACTGATGTAGGAATGTCTCGAGCTCAAGGCCAGCCTGAGCTACACAGTGAGACCTTGTGTAAGATAAAAACAACTTCTAAGAAATATGCTTTTTAGAGAAAAATGACTGATAAGATGTGTTTTTATTCTTGGGTCAGTGGGGGACATAAAAGTCTGTTTACTTCAGATCAGTGAGAAGCTGTAGTTGGCAGAGGTGAATAAAGTATGCTGTGGTGATGTCTTGCTTGCACAAATAGAACTTGTCTGAAGATCAGAGGATGGAGCTTGCCACCAGCTAACCATAGAGGTCTGGAGGTCTGTACAGACAGACAGGAAGTGAGATGGCTGGGCAGAAACAGGAAGTGAAAAAGCTGGGCAGAGACAGGAAGTGAGGTGGCTGGGCAGAAAGAGGATGTAAGAAGGAAGAAAGGAACTCTTTCCTTCTCTTTCCTGCTGGAAGCTAATGAAGTAAGGATAGCTTTGGCTTGTGCCTTCTTCTCTCTGATCTCTCAGGCATTTTCCATAATACCTGACTCTGGGTTTTTATTATTTAGACCAATTGAGAACTCTATTTACAATGCTGGAGATATTTTTAATTAATTTTATTTTGTATGTATGAGTGTTTTGTCTTCACACACACACACACACACACACACACACACACACACACACACACACACATATATTGAAACAGTGAAGGCTGAGATGGTCAGACATACAACACTGGTGTTTGCCTGAATGGTTCCTTCCTGCCAATTCCCCTGCCTTGCTTTGAGGAGGTGTGTTGCTATTGTGCTACATTGGAAGGTAGACAAAACCTGTGGGAAGGGTCTGGAGGCTTAGTTAGATGCTGAGGCCTTCCTACACTTCTTCCATGTTTAGAATCTACTGTTATTCTTTGGCCTTCAGTCTGTCCTGGGATACTGCCTCTTAATCCTATAACAGAACGCTCTCTCTCTCTCTCTCCCTCTCTCTCTCGGTGTCTTCACTTTCTGTGTCTTACCATTCATTCCTCTTCACATTGTAGAACCTTTTTTATAAAATTGGTTCTTAAGGTTTGTGAATTCACTTGTTGGGCAAATATTGTAATCAAGAGTGGCTGTTAGAAGTTCTGTCTCCTTTTGTCTTCTAAGCAACTGAATACTATGCCATGCATATGTCAAAGGGGGTAGCATTAGGACTCTTCCAGACTCCTTACACTGCAGAACAGTTGCCACTTTGCCAAGTCCTCTAAGAATTAGATGCGGATTCCAACTCACCTTGCCAACTAATTCAGCATATGATTTTACCAAAAGACGGCACTTTTTCATTCTGGTAGAGAATCTTATAGGTATTTAAAAGTGCTTAGAAATCAGAGTGGGTTAGGATATCTACCCTTTCTGCTATATTTAGCATGAGAACATTTCTTTGCCAAAGTCTGTTCTCAAAATTTCATTACTTTCAGGGAAAAAAATCATGCACAGAGAAGAAGCATGTAGATATTGTTACTGTCTGATTCATCTTTGAAACTGTAGCACCTAGCTGGGCATCCTCAGTGTTATGATACTGAATTAAATCCTATCGTGCTCTTATAGCATGTTGCCAATTTAGGAACTCGCGGGGTGACTTTCAAATAATTTCCAACTGTGGGGATGCTTGTTTCATGTTCGTTTACCGCCAACTTCTAAGAATGGAAGCTGGCCAAGACTGCACTATGAGCAGGCAGGGAATAAGGACTCAGAGTGTGAATTTAGCAGTGCTCGGCTGCATGACTGACACTCCTTCCCCAGCAGTTTCCATCACCTGACCTTGGAAACTTTATTTGCCCTTGAGTGCACGTGTGCTGTTGCTGTATAACGTGCTTCTGCCTGGGCGCAGAGCTCCCAGTCACATGCCCAGCACTTTCATTATCTAACTGAAAGGGAATGAGGGAAAAAGTTACAATGCATTTTAAATGAAGGCCCTGGAAGAGTTTCATGTAAATTCCATAGTAGGTCAGTCAATAGCTCTAGAAATAGTTTAGAGATGGATATATCTATATATCCATATGTCTATATTTACATCTATCTATCTATCTATCTATCTATCTATCTATAGTTACTTTCCATCCTAAAACTCCCCAGTGGGCTTCCCATTCCACACTGAATGCATTTTGGTCTTACATTATGCCCCAGGACCTACCAGCTCCTAGGCTGGCAGTCACCAAAGCCCAGGGCTCCGTCTCACTCCACTGTCCATATCTATCTCATTGTTTTATTACTATTTTCATGTTGTTCATTGTCTCTTCTACCAGGATGTTAGCTCCATGACTGGAGGTGTCTTGTCTTACCCACTTGCGGTGCTGGAGTCTAGGTTTAGTACCATTGTGTTCACTAATAATTGCCAAGCGAGTGCTGTCAAGGAGGAGGCTTTGTTCTTTGTGAAAACAGGGTAAAGGGGAGGGGACCTTGGACCAGAGAACACCTCTGGAGGCAGCCACCCAGTCCCTTCGCTTCTGCTTCTCACCCCTGCTTGAGCTGTGTCTCAGGGCTGAGATGCTGTGACTGCTCTCAGCCAGGCACTTGGAGGAGAGGACTCAGTGGCCAACTCTAGTGGCTGTGCTGAACTGCAGTGCTCTCCTTGGGTCATGTAGTTGTGAAGCAATGGACTAGTTCTGGCACAGAATTAGCAAAATCAGGAAGGGAAGACCTGCTCACTACTCAACTGTTCCTGTGTGCAACAGTTTTCACAGGTGGTGTGGTCACCTGTGCCCTGCGTTGGAGCTCAAGGCTCAAATGGGATGAGCAGTAGCAGAGTGGTACAGGCAGCCACCTAGCCCCAAGGCAGGTAGGAGGAGCAGATGCTCATGGGAGAATGATTTCCTGGGCTGACTACTCACACTGCAGCCACCTTAACAGAATGTGTTCTTGTGTTAATCGATGTGCTTCTATTTGCCTTTGTTGGGACGAGTTTTCCAATTCAACTGAGCAACCTGCTGTTAACATTGCTGAAACCATTTTTTTCCCTTTTCACAGGCAATTGAGCAGAAAGAGCAGCTCTGCAGCCTTCCTCCTCTTTGATGTTACAGGGAGATTTATTGGCTTCAAAACCCTTTTCATGCATTTCTTATCCCTTTTCCTCGGAGTTTTACAGACTGCATCGGGGGATGTTCTCTCTCTCTTCACTTCATAGATTAAAGTTCCTTGGCTCAAACCCAAAAAGTTGTCCTCTTATGAGAATTTCTCCTCTCCTCGAATGCCTCTTAACACAAGTTTTAACATATGCAAACTAAGTTGTTGTGGACTTGTCTAGAAGGGTAGCTAAACAATGAATAAAAGAAATGACTTCATGATTTCTCCACATCTGTAGCTACTATTCATGCGTTAGCAAATAGCTCTTGATAAGGACAGACACTATACAGAAAACATAATGTGAATGAACACCACATATGTTTACAGCCCTTATCTGGAAGATTATTAGGCATTTTCCCTGTTAATAAATATACTTCCACGGCATTCCAAAATAGAGATAGTATACAGTTGTGGTTTTGTAGCATGATTTATGACCAATTTTTTGTTGGTCGTTTAGATAATTTCTATAGTCTTTCTTATTGCAAGCACTATTGTGGTAAGAAGGCCTGCAGCTGAATTGTATGCACAGTCTCATTTATTTATTCTAGTCGATTCTTGGAGTTAGAATTGCTGGTTCACACATTTAAGGTCTTTTGATCCACGATGTTAAATAGACAATTTGCATTCCCAGCAGCAGCCCATTTTCATCTATATTCTTCTACTCTGAGTATCATCATTTCACAGCTTTTTTTTCCCATTTTATGGGTAAATCTGGTATCTTGTTGTTTAATTTACTCTTCATACATGAATAATTAGGTTGGGTATTTTTCCGGAATTTTTGGTTTCTGGAATCTTAACTGTCTTTTCATGTCTTTGTCTGTATTTCTAGCTGAGAATCAAGACCTCTGACATGGATCTATGCCCTTTCCCCTCAGGCCTCCAGTGAAGCCGGCTCTACTTGTGAGAGCCAATGCTTGCTTGCGATGTGCCACACCCTGGAGAAGCAGGCAGGGCAAACTCTGGAGTCCATACTGTAGTGGAGATTGAGGCATATTGAGACTGAGGGGCCTACTGTGGACAGATCCCTAAGCCACAGCCATTTTTGTACCAGGCTCCCTCAGGAGTCTTCCAGGAAAGCAATCTAATAAGCTAATCACACTGATGTTTAATGACTCTCATAACTTATTATCTTTTCCAGAGTTATTTGCATTTAAATAGAGAAACCTGAGGCAATTGCTATTTAATGTGCCCTGTCAAGTCAGGGAAAAGAACTATTTTGGGGCCTGGCATCTTCCTGACCCTTAACTCACACCATGGAAGCCCCCTGCTCCATCTGTGGGTGATCCTGGCATTTGTCAATCTGGGTTGACATAAAACACCAGCAACAGTGATATGAACAGGCACAGTATAAGGCCAGAGGGAATCAGACACAGCCCTCTGTTGAGTTTTTTCTATTCTCTTCTCATTTTTGCTTTCTCTGCTAAGAAATTGTTTTTCCATTTCCTTCGCAGAATTACCAGGAGCCAGTATTCCCTTTTTGCCAATGTTAGTGAGCTGCTGAACACCTCTCAGAAGTGTGCTCCAAAGTTACAGAAGAATAATAGTTTGTGAGCTCAAAGGCCCCATAGCTTCTCCCTGAACTCATGCTTCAATTGAATTATGGCTTCACACAGACGTAAAGCTCCCATGGACCAGAGTGAGGGTATCCTTGTGTTATAGATCCAGGTCCCAGGGCACATGCTGGTTCCTAGGTCCGTGTGTCCCATGACAAAGAATTAGACTAGAGGCACAGGGCTGGAAATAGAGATGGAGAAAGGGAAGAAGCTCGGCTTGTGAGCCGTGGGGAGAGCGTGCTCACAAAGTGCTGGGCCACGGACCCAGGACCCTTTACAACCCATCAGCACATGGCGGGTTCTCTCTGCCTGCCCTCATTGTTGCATGTAGTTCAAGTGGGGAAGACTTTTCCATGCTTTCTTTGCCAACTGGCTTTTATTTTCTTTTAAAAACAATTGGGTCTATATTTATTTATTTACTTATTTGTGTGTGTGCATATGCGCAGCAGGTACCTTTACTCACCAACCTTCCCCCTGGCTTCTTTCATACATTAGTCTTGCTACAGTTTTTCTAGCCCCTACTCTCTTACCATAACTGCTCCTAAGAGCAGTCCTGAAAGACCTTTTAGAGGAGAGAAGGACAGTGATTGGCCTTTTAAAACTGCTTCCATGCTAGTGAGGATGTAATTCAGGAGAGTCATCTTGTGTAGCTTGTTTTGGGGGAGTTGATCATCCCCAAGGCAATAAATTCGTAAGTTCATTATCAAGTACAAACCACAAACAAACAAACAAACAAACAAACACATAGTCTGGCCTTAATAGGAAAAAGGATCACCATAAAGGGGATGGGTTTATCCTTGAAGATACAGAATGCTTAGATAAATACATGCACGTTCTTTGATACAGTTAAATGTACCACTTTAATATTCCTTCCACCTGAATTTGTGTAGGACAGCAGCATGGCTTCAAATGTTTATAGTTTCAAAAATGCTTCTTCTGGAAATGATGTGCATGCATGTGATACTGGGATTGAACCTGGGCCTCATGAAGGCTCTAGTGCAGTAGATCTTTCTTTATTGAGTCTTTGCCATTCTTAAAACCTTTGATCATGTTCATCAAGAAAACCAGGAGATTCTGCAGTTCAGGACCATGTCAAGCCCAGCCCTCTGACTTTGAATGACTTCTTATCGCACAGCATTAGTAAATAACCTCAGTGGTGGTGTGGAGGGGCTTTGCTTTGGGGTAGAAACACTCCAACCATCAAGATGGTACAATGGGGGAAGGTGTGCTTCATAAAGAAAGATGAAGTAATTATAATAGCTTCTTAAGAACAACAACTTTGGTTTTACAGGTTTTCTTTTAAATAAGTAAAATACCATGTTCCCTCTTCTTAATTTTTTTGTCTGCATGATATAACTAACAAGGCAAATTATATTTTTCTTTCCCATTCTTTATATTAGCAGCACTGTGTTTCCCAGTGCAAGTGTTGACTCTCTCCTTCATGAAATGTGCACAAGGTCTCTCAGGCCAATGGGACAAGTGCCTCTCCAGAGGAGTCATAGGACCCTTTGGGAGGTGTCTCATCATTTCCTGGTCCTATAGAGCCTGGTAGACCTAGGAGCAAGAGACAAAATATTAGCTGTCCTTTAGTTCTTTTATCTAATCCCCAGAGGGTCAGCCATGTTAGTATTGTAAAAGAGCCTGGGCACAGGACACATCTATTTTACAAACCAGATCTATTCAAAAGATGAAATTGCCAGTTATTGGGTTTTTTTTTTCTGACTATTTGGTGACACTATAAAAGGAAAGGTCTTTTTTTTCTTTTTTAATGTGGGCATCTACTGTGTTCTGATTATAGGGATTACATTTGAAAAACAAAGAAAAGTTTGTAACAACTGGAAATTTGGGAAATGGAAGTTACCTTAGCAACAAGAACTAAGTTTTGCATGTCTGGGAATCAGTATTAGCATGCGGGGCTCAATTCCAGAAGCATTTTGACTGGCAAGGACTAAATCCCAAAGCTTACTGAGAATTGGGGCAGCATGCTTAACCCAACTCTAGAATTGTCTCAGTCAATAGGGACTGAGTTTTCTGAGTGGCAAATGTAAGTCACACAGGTACTTTGAGTGGTGGTGGTGAGGTCCAGATTTAATATAACAAACAAACAACAGAAAGTATGATTGTCTGATTGTCTCTTTTAGATAGTTTGTTTTGTCTGTTTGGTTGGTTTTTGGTAAGGATCCGGAATGATCAGGAAGAAATTCCAAAAGGGAAGAGCTACTTATTTTTGCCACTGAGTTGGAGGATCACGTCTCCAGAAGAATCTGCAAGACCTTGTTGGTATATTATGTAAGTTAACTCTTAAAACCACAAGAAACCAACATGGGGTTGTGGTCTATTAGTCTGATATAGGAAATGTATTGACTTTATCACATGCAGATGGGGACACCCAGAAAACATGTACATTATGTCTTAAATATCTAAGTTACAAATCTAGGTGAAAAAAAATAACTGTCTCAGCTACTCTTCTGTTGCTGTGAGGAGACACCATGACCAAGCCAACTCTTATAAAAGAACAGCATTTAATTGGAGACTTGCTTACAGTTTTAGAGGGTTAGTCCATTATTACCACTGTAGAAAGCAGGCAGGAAAGCATGGTGCTGGAGCAGTAGCGGTGAGCTTCATCTCCCGTTCCACAGGCAGCAGGCAGAGAGAGAGAGAGAGAGAGAGAGAGAGAGAGAGAGAGAGAGAGAGAGAGAGAGAGAGAGAGAGAGAGAGAGAGAGGGGGGGGAGAGAGAGAGCGCTACTGAGCCTGGCATAGGCTTTTGAAACCTCAAAGCCAACTCCTAGTGACACACCTCCTCCAACAATGCTACATCTTCTCCAAGGCCACACCTCCTAATCCTTCCCAAACAGTTCATCAACTGGAGACTAAGTACACAAATATATGAGTCTACAGGGTCCTTTTTCATTCAAACCACATTAACAGTATCAAATAAAAAAAATTTTAAGCTAGCAAATTTAAGTTGACCAAATTAAGTTCTGTTATAACAAGCATTTAGAAACAGCTTTTGTTTAAAAGTATTCATTTTTTACTTAGGCTCATGTGGTAATCAAAGCAGAATAAAGGTTTTGGCATTTTTGCTTTTATTCTGTGTAATGTGTACTTCTGTAGGTGAGCATATTAGTTATTCAAGGAAAACTGAAAGCACAGAGCTAATCTGTACCAATCTTTGGATTCTAGGAATAACAGAGTCCAGAGAACTTCCTTCTACAGAGCCCCCAGATGAGAGAGAGCCACTGTCCAAGAGGATGAGGCTGGACCTGGAGAAGGAGCCACCATGTCCTCAAAGCCAGCTCATTTTCTCATGAGGCAAGGGCTTTTTGACCACTTGCAGACAGAGTGGAGATATCAGTGAACCAGACAGCATCTTGATAAGACTATTTAATTACATGCACTTGTATTTTAAAGTTTAGTTACATTATAGAGTGAGAGAAATTTGGAATAATTTAAGTTTTAATTTATATGACCATGTAGTTAAGTTGGTTCCACATAAACTATGTAAAAATGTGTGTGCACACTCATGTACCATATATAAAAATAGATTTGAATTAACAAAGGTTAATTACTACCAGTTTTTAGTTAGACTGTTGATAAGATTTTTTCTTTTTTATAATAATAATGATACTTAATTAAAAATCTATACATTTAAATATATACATTAAATCTGTGTCATTTAGTATAAAGCAAAAACTTCATTAGATCATAAACAATATATTACCACAAGTCCCCCTTTTGTCTAATACAAAAAGGTTATAACTAAATATAAGAAAAACCATGTATAATAACTATATACAATATATACAGGCAACAAGTAAGCCAACAATGTCTAGTCCATTTACATTTGACAAATTCAGACAAAAAATTCCATTATCCTATCTTGTTGAGTCAAAAAAGTTGTACCCAATGTACTTTCTATTCTAATTTGCATTATCAAATTATCTTTTAATGCCTCTCAAACTTTTAGACTTTATACTTCCTTAGTGAGTTTCTTTTCTGAGTCTAGTAAACAAGGAAAACTATAACTGTAACTATCTGGTCTTCAACTCCCTCAGAGACCCAAGAATGAAATAATATTAACTGAATGAGCAGGAAGTGCAAGCAAACGACTTCCAAAAAATGTGGGAAATGACAGAAACAGATGATTGCCTGGACAGTCACCAAGATTCTTCTGCAATGTTGGGGCATCCATCTTTGGCCTATGGGCCTAGCATGTCTAACAGACTTTTCTGTGACCGTCTTGAAGGACTGTCCTACCTTGCCTTGGCAAGGTTTGCAGTCACTCTCTTTTGGGTCCTGCTTGTCCAATTTGAACAGCATACTGTCAGCAGTCGAGGCAAGGGCACTTTCTTTCCCAGTGGCTTAATTTTACCACAATGAAGTAAACTCCATGTGGTGTTTCTTTGATGCCCATCATCTTCTCTGTGGTAGACTGTAAGTGTAAGGGCCCAGCATGGTCATTGATAAGGGTTTAAACAAGCTGAGAAGGCACCGATAGCTTTTTTTTGTTGTTTTTAATCATTACTTAAAAAAATTTAAACTGGATAAGATTTGAAACTTGAAAAACCTGTTTTTGAGAGAGGAGAGCACAGATAGAGAGAGAATGATTTCTATCTCAATGTTTTAAATCTAAGTTGAAGTTTATCTTAAAAATAGACATTGATAGTTATTATTATCTAAATACTTAACAGTCATTATGTACAGAAAATATTATCTTTTTGTTGTAAGTTTTCCTAAATATTGAATGTTGCTGTTTGTTGGAATTATATTCCCTATAATCTCCATTATAAAAAGGAAATTCAACACAGAGATGTTTGGCATTTATATATAACAGCATAGACTTAATACAATTCTACATTTCACATTATTTTTCTTAAATTTTTTGTATATTTTAATGTCAGTTTTTAATAGAAGAGAGAGACCAATAAAAAGGTTCACCAAATAATTTTGTAAGCACAATAGTGAAATAATCCCCACCAACCATTCCATGCACCATTTCTATAAATCCTCAACTCAATAAATGTCATTCTCACTACTCACAATGATTTTATATTTACCCGAGACAAATTATACAACAATCCATCTCATTGATTGACATACTGTTTGGCACTTAATTAGCGAAGACTATATATTCTTCACTTAAACAATTCACAATAAAACTTTTGTTTTATATTTCAAATGTGAAAACAATTAGGAAGATATTGAAATCCTGTCATAAAGGTCATTGTCTTCATTAAAAATCACTGTATTTCATTCCTCTGTCTTACACTTTATGATGTGTGCACACATTCATCTTTACATCCAATGAAGTAGAAAAATGCAGCAGCCCCTATAGATTATACAGTGATTCCTTAAAATGTGCCATGGGCTTGTGTGAAACCCACCCCTATTAACAATATCATATTTAAGACAATAAGTATTGTGCAGTAGAAGAAACTTTACCTTGAGACAGTCTAGGAATACTCCTTTGTAATATTCCATTACTTGATGTAGAATGATTTCAGGGTATGTGTGGTCCACAGCATACACAGCAGTCTATAAATTACAAGTGTCTTCATTCACTGCTATGTCAAATTTGTGCTATGCTAACCATTCCAATGAGTTATTGAATGAACAACGATTCATTTGCTATTAATAATTGTTTTTTAAAGACTCTTTCTGAAGAAGAAATCCATAGTAATTAGTCCAATCAGGTTTTGATTTTAAGATTTACTTTTAAAAAATGATGTGTCTGTTTGTGTGTGCATATGTCTTAGTTAGGGTTTCTATTGCCATGAAGAAACTCCATGATCATGACAGTTCTTATAAAGGAAAAACATTTGATTGGGATAGCTTATATTTTCAAAGGTTTAGTTCGTTAATATCATGGTGCAACATGGTGGTGTGCAGATAGACCTGGTGCTGGATAGGTAGCTGAGTTTGATGCCAGCCTGGTCTACAGTGATAGTTCCAGAACATCCAAGCTTAGAAGTGAGGGTAACCATCAAAAATAGAAAGCTGGTGAAGATACAATTGAAAGATCCCTGGCTTCAAAGCTATACTCTGGTCTACAGATCCAGTTTCAGGACAAATCACCAAAAACAAAGTTGATGAAGAAATACTTCAACAAGGGAGCCATGTTCCAGCCCCAGGAAGCAGCAGAATTTGGCAGCTTCAGCTACACAATTGTGGAGTTGAGGACAGAGGAAAGGTGGTCTGGAATTTGCCTCCGAGAGTAAGGAAAGTTGCAGAGGTCAGGCATGTGGCATGATTGGAGGCCCACAAAGGCCATTGTGTGAAGCTGCAAAGGTGAAGCCTGGATTGACTACCCTGAAGACTCCAAAATATTGGACGCTAGAGCCATGGGATGCCTGCCGAGGAGAACCCACCCAAGAGACAGAAGTGTGTTACAGTCAACAAAACTGAAAGGAGTTGGAGATCTGAAGAGCATTTTGACATCAGACATGAGATTCAAAGTTTGCCCGGATGGTTTTCAGTCTTGCTTTGGTTCAGTATTTCCTCACTATGCCCCCTTTCCTATACTTTGGAATGGTAATTTATATCCCGTGCTATTATGTGTTGGAATTATGGGATCTGCTTTTTTTTTTTTGATGTAATAGGAGATTACAGTTAAGAGATTGTGTAAATCTCAGACGAGACTTTGAACTTTTAAACATTATTGAGATTGTGATAAACTATGGGACTCTTGAAGTTGGACAGAATGCATTTTCAAATTATGATATTGTTACAAGTGTTTGGGGGACCAGGAAGTTGAATGTGGTAGTTTGAAAGAAAATGGCTCCCAAAGACAGTGGCGCTAACCATTAGGAGGTGTGGCCTGATTGGTCTTGTTGTAGGAAGTGTGTCACTGTGGAGGTAGGCTTTGAGGTCTTATATATGAACCATGCCCAGTGAGATAGTTCACTTCCTGTTACCTGCAAGATGTAGAACTCTAAGCTCTGTCTCCAGCACCATGCCTACCTGCATGCCAAAATGTTTTCACTGTTTTGATAATGGACTAAACCTCTGAAACTCTAAGCCAGCTCAATTACATGTTTTCCTTTATACGAGTTGCTGTGGCCCCAGTGGCTGACTTTTGCCACAAAGAAAGTAAACTCCATGTGGAGTTTCTCTGATGCCCATCATCTTCTCTGAAGTAGATTGCTGCTGCCAGGAGCAGACATGTCCCATTGTCATAAAAAAGACCACCTGTTACTAAAATATTTCAAATGCCATATTCTGTATATCTCTGAAATGTTTGAAGATTACCTGCCTTTCTAAAATATATCTCTGTTTGACTATGAAAAACATACCTATTGTGATTGATTACAAGTTTAATTGTAATAGGTGACTAATTATTCACCTGTATTTCCTTATTATCTTATGCATTTGATAATAATAACTTTTAAGAGCTAGAAATTTGCATTATATTGATAAAAGAGCTGTATAGGTACAATACCTTGAATAAGATTAGAAACATATGTACACTATGTTTTAACAAACAAATCTCAAATTTGTAACAAATATACAATATTTGTATATAATATACAGAAGTCCAATTCAATGTAAAGTATTTAAAACTAGCAGTTGCTTTTTAAGAGTAGATTCAATAATCTACATTTTAATCTCATTATATCTGTACATTTTAAAAGTAGATTCAATAATTTACCTTTTTATCTTACATCTATGTTCTTCCTTTTTAGAGTGAATTCAATAATCTACCCTTTTTATCCTATCATATCTGCACCCTTTTTTTCAAAACATAACCTTGAATATAATCCCCTTTATTCGACTTTCTTCCTGACATTTTTTTTTATCTTCAGGCAAGCTTTATATGTTAGAGAAGAAACAATACATCACCACAGATATGTGGTTACAATCTTTAACATCAATTAATGCAGCAACAATGTATAAAAAAATACAAGTGACACTAGTGACCTATGGCTCAATTTTGGGAAACTAAACCAAGAAAAGTATTTTTGCTTTGTTTTGTGTTTCCACAACAAAATGACAAAACCTATTTCTAGAAGATTTCCTACGTCTGAGTCTTGGTTGTGAAATGCCCCCAGTCTCTGGTGTCATATTTAGCCTTGACAATTTGACTTCTAAGTCAAGAAGTGAATTCTATCATGTTGCCCCTTGACTCAGGTGTCCTTTGCTTTTGCTACACAATAGAATTTACACTGGGACAGGAAAACATAGCTACAAGAAAATCTATAGACTATCACTGCTTTTTTTTTCTTTTAAACTTATTCTTTGGCAATTTTACACATGTAATGAATTTTAGACCATTGGACCCCTCATACATCCTCCCTATTTTGATGAAACTTTATTGTTCTCAATAAGCCCCCTTCAACATCTTGTCTTTTACCAACAACATTTTGTAAACAATCTCCCTAAACAATGACAAATACACCTAACCCAATGAGTGACTAAAAATCACCTATCCCACCTCTTGAGAATGTGGGCATCATGTCCTTAGTTACTTCCTGCTGCCTGGGGTTGATGGCATCTTTAGGGTATCCTGAAAAG